GTTCTAACTTCTAACCTTGAATTTTTCTTAGTTGATCCCTGAAAATATGTATAAGAATCCCAGTTTTATCACCTGGATGGTTATCTAGTGTTTTGTTTCCAAAATTCCTTTTGACAAGTGTCAAGACAATTCATAAGGGCCTATAACCATTGGCTTTTATTGTGGAGAAGTTTTAGCATGCATTCATGTGCATTTGTATGTGTATATGGGTATATATAAATGCTTAGGATATTTTCTTATGTTGTGTACCCACACATGTCAGGAGAAACATTTATGAAGGAGCAAGTAATTTGGACTTAGATGAGGTACCATGTGTTCCCAAATCATTCTCTATCCTTTTCCCCTATATTTGATGTAGATCTAACACTTATTTTTCTGGGCAAGTTTCTTTGCCCCGTATGCCGTCAACTTGCAAATTCAGTTTTGCCTGCACTGCATGGGAATTTCCACAAGGCTGAAGGGCAGCCTCTGACATCAAAAATTGATTCAATGCCTGCTTCTGGCCCTTTATATACATCAAGTGTGGCAATCTATTCTCTTCAGCTTCAGCAAGCCTTGTCTCTCCTACAATCTGCTGCTAATGTGGTTGGGAGGCCTGATATCCTTGAAGCTCTTCCCCTTCAAAGAAAGGGAACAAGTCAGAATTTTGAAACTGTTTCTCGTAGGCTCTCCAAAATGTACTTTCCAATAAAACAGGACAAATTTTTTGAATCTCCAAGACTAAGCCACCCAATTATTTTATGGGACACTCTGAAGTATTCCCTAACATCCATGGAAGTTGCTGCTCGAAGTGGAAGAGCTTCTTTTGCTCCTAATTACAGTCTTGAGTCATTGTATAAGGAATTCAAATCATCTAGTAGATTTATATTGTCATTGTTGCTAAAAGCTGTCCAGAACATGAAAAGCAGAAATTCTCTTCACATGCTTCAAAGATTTAGAGGTGTCCAGCTTGTTTCTAAGTCTATTTGCTCGGAAGTTTCCTATAGTTATCACAGCAGCACACATCAACGAGGTATAATTTTTTCATTTTTTGTGTGTTGCTATAATTTTTGGGATTAAATAGTCATTTACTTCTTGCATTTATGTTTTTATATTTGTTTAAATTCTAGTTGTTATAGCATATTTATTAAAATGTGCACTTTAAATCCCTGAAACGTGAAGGATATTTCATTGGTTTCAGACTAAATGAAATGGAGAACATTTGAAACTAAAGCTAATTAACACCAGTCCTATCTTTTCAAAAATGGCAAGATAGGTTGTTATGCACTTATGCTGAGTGATATGGCTCGTCTTCCCATTTTTTTGGGAGTGAAATATATTAGATATTTGGAGAAGTAGAGCTTCTAAACAGGGCGTTCATTTAGAATTGAACATCTAATTGTTCAAAAGAGCATCACCACTATATGTATAACATGATAATGTGAATTTGATTATCAACGTACTTATAAATGTTTTGTTTTAGATTCTAGTAGGTTAATTTGATCTGACCAATGCTGTACTTGCAGGTTGGCTGTTGAATCTCTTGGATCATCATAACTCCAGAGTACCATATCCTGATATTCAATTTTGGAATCGATTGACTGATCCTGTTCTTGCTCATGATCCTTTTTCATCATTGATGTGGGTTCTCTATTGTCTTCCCTGGCCATTTATATCGTGCAAGGAGTCCTTATTATCCATTGTTCATATTTTCTATGCTGTTTCCATAGTGCAGGTGTGTTAATCTACTATATTTGTGAAATTCAACTATATTTAGCCATTGAAATTCTACTTTAGAAACTTAGCTTTTGGACTTTGACATGCTGGATGCAGGCAGTAATTACATGTTTCAGAAAAAATTGGTGCAAGATCAATGAGCTAGGTTTCCATGATTGCCTAATTACAGACATCTGCAAAGTTCTGGGAGATTCTAAATGTGCTGAGAAATATATCTTTTCAAATTATGTTGACCCCTCTTGTGATATTAAAGATATGATTCGTAGATTGAGTTTCCCTTATTTGCGAAGGTGTGCATTGCTGTGGAAATTGCTGAGCTCTTCTGTCTCAGCACCATTCTGTGACAGGGACAATGTATGTGATATATCATCCAATGCTCTAAATGATAAAATGGATGTCACTGAAGATACTCTGGTGGAGCTAAATGAAGTGCAGGAACTGGAGAATATGTTTAAGATTCCTCCTTTAAATGTTGTTCTTAATGATGAACTCCTAAGATCACTAACAATGAAATGGCTCCACCATTTCCATGAGGAGTCTGAAGTTCGCTGTTTTCAAAGCGTTTTCTACTGCAATCCTGCAGTTCCATTCTACTTGATGAATCTGCCCCATGTTTACCAGGATTTATTGCAGAGGTTTGTTACAAATTTCATTTTAACTTGGGATATAGTGAGGTAGGCCCTTAATCACAGAATTCTTCATTTGTTAAGCAAGAGTGTATACTTCACCAGGTACATAAACCAGTGCTGCACTGACTGCAAAGCTACACTAGTTGAACCTGCTTTGTGCCTGTTATGTGGTAAATTATGCAATTCAAGTCAGAAGCCATGCTGCAGGTTCACGCTCATCTATTTTCTTTTCTCATTTTGTGATTAACATATGGAAGTACGTTTGATTGTTTTGGAATGTCATGCTTATGTTTGACTTGTAAATCTTACATCTTGCTTTCTTTATATTTTCTCAAAATTTTTCATTTGAAGGGAAAGAGGATGCTTCACCCATGCTATGACCTGTGGTGCCGGAATTGGTTTATTTTTGTTGATAAGGGTATGGCCAATATTATCTCTCAGTTTCTTTCTGAAATCTGTATCTCATATTTCACATTAGTTCTTCCCTGTAACAGCTAATAGTTTTTGTGGTAATAGGAAACAACAATTCAGCTGCAAAGATGTGCACATCGTTCCTTTTGGCCATCCCCATATTTGGATGCATTTGGTGAAGAGGCAAGTCATTTAATTCATAGCTTTTCTATGAAATAATGTAACCTTTGTTATTCTTTCCAACTAGGCACATGTAATTCATAGTAAGCTGAAAGGCAAAAACAAGTGGTAGTCTAAAGAAGAAAAAACTTTCTGATTGCACCTGTTATCTCATATGATAAAGTATAATTGATTTTTCACTTTATCTTTAGATTAAGGATTTGGGGATAATTTATGTTTTAACCCTTCTCCTTAGAAAAAGAGATAAAAATAAAGAGATTTTTTAAGGTGGGATGGACAATTAAAGTGAAGGGATAATAATAAGGTTGAAGTAGAAAAAAATAGTCTCCCTTAAAACATGGAAAACGACAATTAATTTGGGACAAATTCTGAATTAAAAAACGACCATTATTCTAAGATAGAGTAAGGATTATTATCACTGGCATCATCCACCACATGGTATCTGCAAGGTTTTAAGTTAGAGAAGTCCAGGGAGCTTCTTAGGACTCTTGCTACTAGCCTACTAGTACTCATCATCTCATTGTAGCCTCTGGTTTACTTGTGAGGTGGATGCATGTGTGTGCACACACAGACACTATTTCAGAAGTTTTTTCATCCTTGCCCCCAACTTACAGAAATTACATTGAGAACTGTATTCAGTGACTTTGTTCTTATAACTCCATAGTGTATCATTCTGTTTGTTATCTTCAAAAGGTTTTCTTTTAATGGAAGAAATTCAAATGATTTGTTTTCTATGTCCTTGATGCCCTGTTTGAGTTCTCTCATTTCTCTCTTTTCCTTTAGAACTTTGCTTAGCTGATCAAACTATGCTTAATTTGATACCATTTGGCAGGATTAAGTACAAATAGAAAGAGGTTCTTTATACTTCATTTAGTTTCTGGAATTTTATTTGAGATGTGAGAACATAATTAGCAATTCATTTGTTTGCCATGTTAGCACCAATGAATGATGTTCTACAGCCTTTTTCTTTTACTTGGTTTTTTTATATGTTGAGTTATGTTGTTGTAGCAGGATAATGGAATGGATAGAGGAAAACCACTGTACTTGAATGAGGAGCGCTATGCTGCATTAACTTATATGGTGAACCTTTTTCTTTCTTTTGGCTAACAACTTATTTGGTGATTAGAGAATGTTACATTTTGATTAGGTTTCACTGTACTCCAATCTGTTATAGCATGAAATCTTCTACTAGACTGCAAGTGCTATCCCAAAATTATTTTTATATTCATAACGAACTTTCTTTAATGCATGGTAGGTTGCTTCCCATGGCCTTGATCAAAGCCAAAGGTTCTTTGGCCAAACTACCATTGATGCCTTAATGTGGGTTTAGTTTGGTTTTAAATCCAAGGTCTGTTTTTTCATTTTTCTTTCCTTTTTTTCGTTATTCCATCCTTAGTTTTTAAGCTTTGAATGTGAATACTTCTTGCTAAATATTCTTTATGCAAATAAATTAAAGTCGAATCAGATCAGTTGCAAGTCAGTGGTGAATGATTGTGGAAATCTGAAGGTTGTCAGTATTCTATAAATTTCTTTGTGAAATGAGAAATTTTTATCTTCTTGTGGGCGCGAGACATGAGGCATGATGCAGCTGTATAGGCTGCTGATCAGGTTAGTTTGGTAGGACTGTTTTATTAATGTCCCTTTTCCTTCTTTCAGTCATAAACAGCTCTTCTGGTGTTCTATCACCTACTCTAAGAGAGGTGGAGGGGTTAAAAAAAGGACAACATAATAGGCTATAAAAGTTACTGATTATAGTGGAGAACTAATTAGGTAGCTGAATATCAATTTATGGCAGTTTGGGTAAGATGTGCTGCAGAAACCTCCTCTTTTCCTGTAACTTGTCATATTAGTAAGAGGATTTGGTTCTTGATTGCCTGTGGCAGTAATTCTTTCAACGTTGAGGACAAAAGTGTTTATTCGCTCAAGTAGGAGGAATGTAGGGTGTTAAAAAAAGAAAAGGGATATGATACATGATCTCTCCCTAGGAAGCTACTAAATGTGGGACGGATATTTACTGGGTCAATTTTACGATCTTCTGTCCTAAGCATGACTTATATGGTTTCCGTGCCCTACAATTGTTCACCAAACTTGCCCTGAGTTACATGAAGGGAACTATATTTTTATTTTCTCTAACAATTTGCTGTCTCTTGTTCTCTCATTTATGTTTTTATATGTACCGAGACTTTCCTCCCCACTTATTGAAGTTTGGTTTACGTGACAGATTTTGCTCTAGGTTTCATTTCCATACGCTGCACGGCTGTTGAGTTTCTTCAGAGAATCCAAGAGCATGGCAACATGAGTTGCAAGTCTAACCGATTCTCACATCTCATGAAGAAAATCCTTGCAATGAGAAGAATTAAGATCAATTTACACATAAAATCTTGAGAATTCATTTTTCCACTATAAATTATTGAGATTTATTCACTTTTTGCTCTATTTTAAATATAATTGTCTTTTTCATCTAAAAAATCATAATAAATCTTAATTTTTTACAATGGAGAAATGAATAATCAAAATTTTGTGTAACTTATGTGCGTTACTTATCAGACTTTGTGATTGAATTATGAATAGTTTTTAAATTGTAGACAACAACTACCTGCTTGTCAGTTGCATTTAAATAGCTAATTCAACCGGATAAGGTGATTTTTTTTTTTTTGACAAGGATAATAATTAATAGATAGGTTAAGAAATGTTAGCAATTGAAAATTTGATTCCCATAATAAGTGATCTCCCACTTCTCTCATTAAGGTGTGTGGCCCATCGGATTACATGGTGGAGTTCGATTCCCTTTTAAATCTTACTGTTGGGAAGTGGAGTAACTATTTCCAATGGAATTATGTAAGCAATTCAACTCGTACGTAAGCGCCCTATGTTCTGGAATAAATTAGCAGATGTTAAGAAGAACCCGGTCTGATTCTTCAGGTCTGTCTTCTTTTCTTCTTCGTACTTTTTTTTTTTTTTTTTCAGAGATGCTACTAGAATTATTGAATGTAAGGTTTTGTTTTGTTTAGTTGGAATCAAATCGGTAAATTGTAAGGACATTTTATTAATTTACTCAAACCAACCGAGCCCTGAACACCTCGGCCGTATTATCGAGTTAAGCAAAGTTATAATACTGGGGAAAATAGAGCTCAACTTATACAAACACTTTGTTTGAATCAAGGAAGTTGGAGGGGAAAGAGAGGAGAGTGAGAGGAGTGTTTGAATCAAGGAAATTGGAGGGGAAAGAGAGGAGAGTGAGAGGGTGAAAGTACTTTTTCTTGTTTGAATACAAAATTTTAATAAAGGGGAAGGAGATGCAAGGAGACGAAACCTTCTTTTCTCCTTCATTTTCAACTCTCCGATTTGGAGAGATTGGGAGGAATCTTATTATTTAATTTATTTTTATTTTCAATTTTTTATAAAATAAATATATATAAATATTTTATTTCAATTATTTATTTAATTAATAAATTTTAAAAATTTTATTCTTTTTTATTTTATTTTTTATTAAATTATTTAAATAAATAAAAATATTATCATTTTTTCTCCTTTTCTTTTATTTATCCAAACAAAACTAACATTAATCTTTTCTTTTCCTTCACTTCTCCTCCCTTTCCTTCCTCTCCCCTCCCCTTCCTTTACTTTACTACTTTGTATCCAAACATAGGCTAACGGCATGGACCTTGGGTTCAATTTTTATTCCCTTTTGTATTTCAGATTACTTATTCAAAAACAACCTTACAAGAACAGGATCTGTTCTATGGGCTTGTACCTCTGTATCCTTGAGTTCTAAAAGATTACTCATTCAAAAATAGTTTTTACAGTCTAACTTGTAAAATGCCCTCGAACGAGAGATACCCAACGTGATCTTTATGCTATGCAAGGGCCATAATGTTGCAACTTAATACAGACCGAACGATGAAACATCATTTTCTTATTTCTTCATTGTCAGAATAATATACCCTGTTCCAATGGGTGAGCACCATTTAAATGGGTTGAGTTTAATCATTCATTTACAGCTTACATAGCACAATACAATAATGTCATACAACCCAACGACCCTAGCAGGATAATGCGGCTGCCATGGACATAATTATATGAATCAGTAACTGACAGTGTATCGTCAGGATGGTTTGGAAATGGAAGTCAAATCATATAAAAGAGGACAATAAAAGAAATCGTGTCGTTTCAACCTTGTATTCCACTGAAAAGGGAATAATAATGTAAACAAGAAACCGTTTAAATAGAGTGTATATTTGGAGAAGATGTTACCTCTGTTGCTGCTCACTAGATATCAGTGTTACTAATGGCAGAGAAGCTAACTACCTGTCTGATTTGAGATTTTTCCACGCATTTTTCTTCACTCAGAAAGGGCTCTGTACAAAATGATCAGTTGGTATTCTTCAGACGAAATGGGGAATCTTCCCTCTTTTATTCTACACAGACCAGAAGCTTCCGCTGTTGTTGAATTGTGCTCATAATGATGTAAAAGAACCAAGTATACCTAATGACAATTGACAAATTGCTATATATGCAAAACAATGGAGCCATGCATTGAAGGCGCATTTGTCTGCGCAAACATGGACACATCATGACTTGGTCATTTTTCAACATCTGAATAGTCACCATTGCAGAAGAAACAGACGGCCAAGGCATCTTCAAGATTATCTCCAGCCTAATCCTATTTTAATAAACCAAGAACTAAAAATCAGAATCAAAAAACATGAGAAAACAAGTGTGAGAATTTTTTAAAACTTTGGACATTGATCATCCCCGTTTCTAGCTGACTTCTTAGGTGAGATTACTGTTTCTCTGATTTCCTACTTTCTAATGCACTTCCTAAGGGAGCTGGGATCTTTAACAAAAGGTTGCAGAATTTTTTGGAAATGCCATTTCTGAAGTGGTTTTTCTCATGGAGCCTGTCTTCAAGTGATCATGGGGTCAAGAAACAATGCTAAGAAAAGAAATAGAAAAGGAGAAAAAAAAAAAACTTTATTCTTTTGTTTTAAGCAAGAATTAGGGACAGTTAAAGAGTATAAAATTGCAACGTGGTAACTTACAGTTTACACCCTAGGTAACTGCCATCTCTGTTGCTTGCAAGCAATCTTCAATGACAGAGCTTCCATTTACAGTTAATTCTGAAGCTTCTTTATTACCATCACACTTCTCTTTATCAAAACTAAACTCAAGTTGCCTCTCCACAGACTTAAAAACTGCAGTCCTTTTTGATTTTAACCGGTATGGAGGAGAGGCATTAAAAGCCTTGGTGTTGAGCCCAATGCTGCTATTATCTTGACAAGCAGGACTCTCACATGAACTTGCATCATTAAACTGAGCCTTATCTGAACTATTCTCATTTCTTTCATGTTCACTCAACAACTGGTTCCTGTCCTCGACTATTTCCCCATCTGCTCTCCCCACTTTATTGCAAACCAGATGAGGTTGTGCTCCCACCTTTCTCTTCCGAAATATGGAAGGTGTATTAGGAAAGGTCTTGGCTGCCATTCTAAGAATAGATTCAGGACTCTGGGGACTTAAACCACTGCCCTTCACACAAGGTGGAGTGAAGAAACAAATAGGTGACGCTATAGGACTAGAGTTCCATTCATTCTGCAAGCTGCATCTGTTTAAAAGATCTGAATCTAATGACATGCAACTGTCTAACTTAGGTGGCTCATAATACAGAGAACCATAAGCTGGAGTGCCAAGTCGAACTTGCGTCCCAGTAATTTTATCTTCAACAATTTCAGAGCTGACTCCATGATTCTCTAACCTTAGCCCTGGCCATGCATTGTTGCAGCTAGGATTGACACTGGATGACTGCAGCTTACATCGTGCACCTTCAGAATCAGCAGATTCATTTGGAACACATGATGAAGCAACCACATCAGGAACTGGAGCAGAGGAATCTAACTGATCTTTGCTGTCTTCCTCTAATTTGCATAAATCTGCAGTTCCTGATGATGTTTGAGCAGTAGAATCTGATTCTTTACTTGAACAAACAAGCAAATCTTTAGCTGTAGCAGATCCAGCCATATCTTTGGTGCCATTCTTTGCAACTGGTGGAAGCTTTCCAGTAGCAAGATAGAAATCTAGCTTTTTCTTCAAGGAACTATTCCAGTGATTCTTTATTGCATTGTCAGTCCTATATAAACAATAAGCATTAGCTTTCTCTAAAAGTTATTTTCAAATAATTCAAATGACAGCTCTTGATCAAAAATGCTAGACATTGATTTAGAATTGCAATTCCATGAACTATGATTCAAAGAACATAATAAGAATAATACCTCCCAGGTAAAACTTTAGCTATTTCTGCCCATCTGTTCCCATATGTCCGATGAGCACCCATGAGGGCTAATTCCTCATCTAATGTCCAAGCATCCTTCTTTATATCTGGATTCAAATGATTGTGCCACCTGCATGACATTGTTTTAGTACGTAGACAACCATGCGCAAACAAAAGCCAGAGAACTTTTTAAGTGTGGGAAAACTGGGTGATAATTAATTCAATTATTTAAAGGACTTTTACTGAGGATGCAAATAGAACACATTAAGAAAATCTAGAAACAGCATAAGAAGATTAATGCATCTACTGCAAAGTTAAGATTACCTCTCTCGGCATTGTTTCCCTATGCGTCCAGGCAAAGACTTGGCAATAACAGACCATTTTGTGGGCCCATATTTTGCTACAAGTTCAATGATTTTATCATCCTCCTGAACATTACAAAAAAAGAAAAAGTAACAGGAAGTTCAGTGCTTCAATCATAATCTGCAAGGACAGAATGCATAAAAGGATGATAGATGCTTAAGGATAGATGCTAAAGGCCTACCTCTTGAGTCCAAGGTCCTTTAACAAGATCTGGGTTAAGGACCTTCTGCCATCGATGTAGACATTGTACTTCTGATCTATCAGGAAAAAATTCGGCTGCACAAAAATCACACCGAAATGTAAGACTGATAGCAAGAGTTGAAGAAGAATCTTTTATTATAATAAACACAAATTACATATTTGCAACAGATAAAGAGTTTTTTCCCCTTTTATTTTCTATCAACACCTGGCTCCATATTTTCTTTATAAAAGTGACCTAAATAAGGGTCAATGTAATTCCCAGTCCCATATCCAATTTTAGAACATATTTTATACCTCAGCTGTGATTCATGACAGGCTGAAATACCACTATGAATCTCAGGAAGCCCTTCGTTACCCAAAAGAAGATTAATAACCCCATAGAACTTGTAATAGTAGAGATTAAAGTTACTTAGCAAGCATAATCAAATAAATAAAATAAGAGGATCTTCTAACAAAAGAAAGAAACCTATTTTCTTCCAGCTCTTCCCCTTATATGCTGCAACTGCATTTCTTAATGTCTCATCCTGCAACAAAGGAAAGCAGTGCAAAACACAAGCAGCATCAAGAACACAGATGAACAAGGCCATAATAAATTATATAACTTTACATACTAACAAAAAGCTTACCTCCTCGGGAGTCCAACCACCTTTAGCTCGCCTAATGGGGCCACTTGTTCTCCTGCAAAAGTTCAGTATCACATAACTGAGCTTGGTGGAGAAAGCAATATTTGAAATAATCAAAAATAGCACAAACTGATTTCATAATAAGATCCAGCATCAGTTACAGGATAGCAGTTCCAGAAAGAAGGTGTATGTGCATCAAGTCAACAAATTGTTGGGAAAAATTTTAATAAAAGCATACCGAGCACATCCCAAGCATCAGTTTAAAGATAGGAAGTGCCTCAATTGCAAGGAAAATCATTCCGAATTATGAAGCAATAAAAGAACCAAAAGCATGTGTTAAATTACCTATGAGTCGGTGATGTAGCTACCGGGCTAGATACTGCTGGAGACTTGAGAACGGCACTGCCACTGCCTTCAGATACAGAAGAGCTGGATGCAGTGGTTAATTGTCTATTCTCAAGACAACACTCCTCCATCTTCGACTCATCCATCTTACTCCACAATCATCTCCTGAACCCAAATTCCCACTCACATCAACGAACTGAATCCAAAAAAAAAAAAAAACAACTTTCAGCACCCCATTTAAAATCACTACAAAACCCCAAAAACCCTACTCCTATTAACAAATCCTCCACCACCCCAAAGCCAAACAGAGAAACACATAAAACCCAGATCTCAAATTCACTAATCAGATCAAAACAAATCCACATGACCCCAAAACCAATAACCATCAGTTACCCATAATTCTAGGGTTTAAGATCGAAAAAAGCAAGAACTCAATAAATATTTTCCGAATCAGGTCCAGTTCAAACTCAAAACCAAAAAAACACGCCCTCACATGATCAAAAAAACCCACTTAAATAGAAACGTGAAAAATAGTAAAAAATAAAGAATAAAAATACAAAAAGAATCCCAATTCGTTAAACTGAACTCACCTCTCCCTCTATAGAATTGGCGGGAATCGAGCTCTAGCTCGGCGACGGAAATCCTGTTTTGCGCCGGAGGAGAAGAAGAAACGTCTTGCTTCTGCTTTCTTGGTTTCGAAAATCCTCGCCCGTTGAAAGAGAAGAGGTTACCAAAAAGAAAAGAAGTTTATAAATTAAAAAAAAAAAAATCGTAACTTTTTTTATATATAACGAATATATTTCGCACCGACGTCGCCGTTAACTGCCGTTTTACGAAGGTAACGTGTAAGGTTGGAGACATCAAAACGGCCGCCACAGTGGGTTAACGGCGAGTAACGTTAGTGGGGGGTGGGGGACAACGTGTTTGAACCTCTCCAAACGGCATTCTTTGTTTTGTTGGGAGTGAACTGGTTTGGAGTTGGCGGGTGTTTGTGAGCCGTTGGATGGGGAATTGACGGTTTGGGGATTTTTAGGGTATCTATGTTGACTGGGAAGGTATAATCATGGGAGTCAACGGTGGAAAATTAAATTGAGTTTTACCATATCTTTCCTGTTGCGGACCGTTGGATTGCGGGGAAAATTGGAAGTGGCTTCAACTCAAGAATGGAATATAATCACTTTTTTTTTTTTTCAATATGCACCCTTATAATACTTATTAAGCTTACTTTTTTTTATTATAAAAATTAATGTTAATTTTAATATTAGTATCAAGTAAAAGAATTTAATTAAACAATTAATAAATTAAAAATTAATTTTTTTATTATAAAATTTTGATAAAAATGTATATTTATTATATTATTAACTTAAAGTATAAGTTTAAAAAATCTTTTTTTATTGTCAAATATAATCATTTGATAAATCAGTTATTTTCACATAAATTTGCTCATAATATGTATTTTTTATTATTATTTTGAGTTATACAATAAAATATGCAAGAGATCATATTTTTTTATTTCTTAAGCTACACTTTTGATATATTATACAATTTGAATTCAAAATCTATTACTTTTACAAAAGAAGATTATCACTAAAATGTTTAGATCATTAGCATAATATAAGTTTTTAAACATTGGAACATAAATAAAAGGAAAAAAAAATAAAGATTATGTTTATAAGGAGAAAAAAAAATAAAGATTAATTTTGAAAACACTCCTCCATTACCCAATGTCTATAGTTTCTAATACCAAAATTTAGTTCTAAATTAATCATTCATTTTAAAATTTTGTTCAAATTGCATTAATTTTTTAAAATCTAATTCTTCATCTTATCACTATCAAAATTTAGTATGTTTTAAAGAAAAAAAGTGTTTGTTTTAAAGAAATTCTATTTGAAAACATCCCTCTGTACACCTCCAATAATTTTGCTAGAGATGGAGTCTTTTTCCAGGTTTTCTATATAGTTATAGACAAACTGCTTTCCTTCTCTATAGACAAACTTGTTTAATGCTGACTCAGTACACCAAACAGAGGCTAAATATTTAACAATCTTCACTTGATCATGGTCAAGTTCATGCTTCCTTTCCTCTCCTAAAGAAAAAAAAAATATATATATATATATATATCTCTCCTTTTCATTTGGGCATTTTTTATTTTTTGGGATCTATATTTTTCTTACAAATGGACTCTTTATTTATTTATTTTTGTTTACATTAGTGGAAAGATTGGAATTTAGGAATGTGGAGCATGCACCTTATTGCTTGTGCTACAAGTTGAGGTTCCAAATAAGCCCCCAAAAAAAATTTTGGGACAAGGACAAAAATGCACTCATGAGGTGACCAGAATGATGAAGGGTTGCGCGGAGTCATACCTTTACCCATGGTTGAAAAAGTGTTTCACATAAAAAAATGTTGGCCAGTTGAGCTAATAGCCCAAAATTTAAGTGTGGGTAAATGTTTTTAGAGAATAATATTGTTTGTCTAAATCGTTAAAAAAAAATTATAATTTAGGCTATAAATGTATCAAAATATCTTTAATAAATCTTATTTTATAAAGAAATTTAAATACTTTTATAGCTCATACCGCATTCAGCCTAGACTAAAAGAAAATATTTCTGATGTTTTTAATCATGGGTTATCTTCCGTTCTTGGTTAGAATTTATATTTTTCATAGTTGGGAAAGAGACGAGCCCAGAAGACCCAACTGGTGATGCAAGTACAAATAAAAAGACCCAACTTCAATGGTCCAAACTTAAAATCCATATATCAATCTTACGTTTTGTAGTGTATTGTTCGTCCCCGCAGAATTCCCCTTCTCCAAACCCTCCAATTCCGAAACCCAAAACCTTGAAAAATATAAATCCCTAATTTTGTTTCAATTTAAATGTTATTTTAGAAATGTTTTCTTGTTTCATTTTATATAACTTTTTCACGTTTTAATGAATCATTAAATTGTATTATTTCAAATTATGCATTTACTCACTCCTTAAATAACTGCAACACAAAGTTAATATCAAAAAGATAAATTAATCACTTTAATCTTAAATATCCCAATAATTAATGTTACGAATTGTTTGATGCCAAATTTCTCTAAGGCTCTGCTTTCTGTTGTTCTTAACCTTGCAAAATTTATATGTAGAACTCTCTTGTACAAGAATACATTAAGCTTTTAAATACAGCAAGCAGATCAGTTTAAGTTCAGTTTCTACATATACAATTTCTTCACTTTCTACATATTCAAACTAAATCTCCCCACTTAGTTTTACACTTGCAAAGAGGAACAAGCCCCTCTGAAATCAGCAAGCAAGTAATAACCCTAAGCTTTAATTTGATGAAAAAATTTCCAGACTTTTCCATTGGTTAAGCTAAGGCATATATACTTTGCTCTGTTCGCTGTTGCAGCTGCATGATCTGGAGAAATTAGCGGCTTACAACATGTTCAGCAGAGCTGCAAAGGAGATAATATGAAAGACTAGAAAACTGTAACACCTATGGTTGTCTCATTTCTTCCAAATAAGATATTTCTCCATACTTATGATGGATTGGTTGTATTGATACAGCATCATGTATTTTTTTTACCAGCCCCTTGTGTGGAATTGAAGTTACCTTAATTTTGAGTATATATGTAAGGTGAGGTAGGGTTATCTGTTGTTTTAGTCTTCACTAAGAATCATTACTTGTTTGGTGTCTGCTACTGCAAAAAGCTAGTTGAGAACGTGGGATTAATTAAAATGCAGTACAACCAGTTATTGTACTGCTCCACTCTTCTGGTACAAGCAGTGCTCTCTCAATTTCCAACCCTCCAAAACTTGATACCCTACCTCTATAAGCTTTTCAGTAAATAATTCAGCCATTTCTGAGGATACAAAGACTACTCACCCAGTTACTCCCTCGCTTTTTTTTTTTTCTTTGGGTGAAGCCCTGGATTCTATTTGGTTGTCCATTATAAAATGTAAGGTTTTATTTAGTTATTTCACTTTATATGTTTATATATCCAAATACAATAAATAACACAAGATAAAAGCACCTTGCCTTTGCGGCCTAGTGGCAATAGTCACCCCGGTGCATTCCTCCATTCCTGGGCTGGGTTCGAAACCCACCCTTTGCAAATATGTTCAAAAAAAAAAATAATAATAACACAAGATAAAATCACCTGGCCCTTGCAGCCTAGTGGCAATAGCCATCCCGGTGCATTCCTCCCTTTTCGGGCTGGATTCGAAACCCACCCTTTGCAAATATGTTCAAAAAAAAATAATAATAACACAAGATAAAAAAGGAAAATTATTCCGTTTGCCTATCAATTAATTATTGCTTTAGGCCCTTAAGAGGATAATTATTTTTTAAAATTTTTATATTTTTTATTATGTTTTAAAATATATAAAATATTAATTAAAATTAAAAAAATATATATCAATCCTAACTTAAAAAATTAGAATCTCAATAATATTAAATTATATAA